ATCTTGTTGAAATGCAGATTATGAATCAGCAGATCTGGGATAAGGCCTGAGATTATGCATTTCTACAAGTGTCCAGGGAATGCCCATGCTGATGGACCACACTTTGAGAAGCAAGGATATAAACTGCACGCAGTTCAATGTAGTATCTACCTGCCACATGTGACTTTTATTTTTATCTATTTATTTATCGTAGATGCAGGGTCTTCTGTCACCCGGGCTGGAGTGCAGTGGTGCCATCATAGCTCACTGCAGCCTTGAACTCCTGGGCTCAAGCGATCCTCCTGCCTCAGCTGCCTGAGTAGCTAGGGCTACAAGCCTGTTCTGCCATGCTTGGCTAAATTTTTTTTTTTTTTTTCTTTAGAGATGGGGTCTTGCTATGTCGCTGCAGCTAGAAATGCAGTAGCTATTCACAGGCACTATCAGAGCACACTGCAACCTCAAACTTCTGATCTTGAGGGATCCTCCCACCTTGACTTCTGCCCAAGTAGCTGGGATATAAGCATACCACGACCATGCCCAGAATGACTATTTAAATTTAAATTAGTTAAAAGTAAATAAAGTTTAAGATCCAGGTCTTGTGTTGTGCTAGTCACATTTCAAGTACTCAATAGACACATGTGACTACCATACTGGACAGCAGATATATAGAACATTTCCATCACTGCAGAAAGTTGTATGGGACAGTGCTGGACAGCATTCAGGGAACTGTGGTTAGTTCAGCGTGATTGGATCATAATAGGTATGTGGGAAGTGGGAGGAGGAGGTAGATACATGGCGGTTGGTTTTGTTCCTAGTGGCAGTGAAGAGCCATTTAAGGATTTCCAATGGAGATGACAGCAGCGTGGAGGAATTCATAGGGAAGGAACACTGGACACAGGGAAGCTCGAATGGAGGTGGAGGCTACTGCAGTGGATGATGCAGAAAGTAAATGATGGAGCTAGAACTCAAGTACAAGCAAGGGCTGGAGAAAAGACGCAGACTTATAGATGGTCAATAGGAAGCACGGTCTGCATGGAAGATGAGAAAGCAGGCGGCTGAGAAAGGAAAGCATGTGTGCTAAGTCCTGGACAGCTGGGCTAAGGAATTGTTCTTTTTTTGTGTGTGTGTGTGAGCACAGTCTCATTCTGTTGTCACGCTGGAGTGCAGTGGCGCAATCTCAGCTCACTGCAATCTCCGCCTCCTGGGTTCAAGCAATTCTGCCTCAGCCTCCCGAGTAGCTGAGGCTACAGGTACCTGCCACCATGCCCAGCTAATTTTTGTATTTTTAGTAGAGATGGAGTTTCTGCCTTGGCCTCCCAAAGTGCTGGGATTACAGGTGTGAGCCACCATGCCCAGCCCCAAGGAATTGTAATTCTTCAAGGCAGAGAACACGAAAAGGAAGTGGAGGGTTGGAAGAAGAGAATGAACTCTGTTTGGGACAATAGCATGATTTTGTGGTGTCTCTGGTAAATCTAGATGAGAATATCTGGACGGCTGGTGAGTATTCTTTTATGTCCCTTTATTCAACTTCTGACAGATTAAATTTGGACAGACTAAACCCCCTTAAATTGGACAGACTGGCCAGGTGTGGTGGTTTACACCTGTAATGTTAATGCTTTGGCAGGCTGAGGCAGGAGGATCACTTAAGCCTAGGAGTTGGAGCCTGCCCCATAAGCTATGATTGTGCCACTGCACTCTAGCCTGAGTGACAGAGCAAGATCTTGTTGAAAGAAAAAGAGAGACTGGGCACGGTAGCTCACACCTGTAATTCCACCACTTTGGGAGGTCACGGTGAGCAGATCACAAGGTGAAGAGATCAAGACCATCCTGCCCAACATGGTGAAACCCCATGTCTATTAAAAATACAAAAATTAGCTGGGCATGGTGATGCACGCCTGCAATCCCAGTTACTTGGGAGGCTAAGGCGGGAGAATTGCTTGAACCCAGGAGGTGGAGGTTGCAGTGAGCCGAGATCGTGCCACTGTACTCCAGCCTGGTGACAGAGCGAGACTCCACCTCCCAAAAAAAAAAAGAAAGAAAGAAAAGAAAAGGAGAGGAAAGAGAGGGAGGGAGGGAGACAGAGAGAAAGAAAAGGAAGGAAAAGAAGGAAAGGAAGGAAGGGAGAAGAAAGAAAGAAAGAAAGAAGGAAGGAAGGAAAGAGGACAAAGAGGACATACTAAGAAAGAAAGAAAGAGGACATACTAATTTCTCTCAAAAAATCAGGCCCAATAATAAACCGAATTGAAATAATAATTTTTAAACTACATTATAAGCATTTTTAGTACCGAATATATATTATATTGAATTTAACTCAAAAGCAGTTATACATCAGTTTATTTTGTTCTATCATCTCTATATTTAATAGACATGTCTCCTCTAAGCCCAGGGAACAGTTTCACTATTTGAAATGAACTAAGCTTGTCATCTTCATTGAATTGAGGTATTTGGCCAGAAATGTGAAACCTTCAGATTGAGACGAATTTCTCTTAAATCAAACACAAATAGAATTTTCATAATTCCTTCCCATTTTTATCCCCTGATTTGGGGGGAAAGACATTCTGCACAGCTACCCCCAGTCCCTGCTAGGTTGCTGCTGAATTTCTGCATTAGTCTCTTTACTGAGGAGATTTACTTCTCTTTTCAAACATTTTCCCACATAGCTTAACCACATTCATTGCCATAAAGGAAAGGTAATATCTCTCAGCTATCCAAAGGGATTATAAAAAGGGCAGATTCCAACTAGAGACATGTTTGGAAGACTCTTGAGAGAGGTGAAGGGACAATAAACTGATACTCTCACTCAGATTTCAACAAGATTCTATGAATATCTCCAAGATGATGGCTGGCTGCTAGGGTTT